GACCTGAGCCGAAGGCAGCGGCTTAACCCACTGAGCCACCCAGGCGCCCCAATATACACATTTTTTTTTTTTAATGCTGCAGTCAACATCGTACTGAATTGCTGGTCGCTCGGGCCTGTATGTCATAAACTTTACAAGGGATTGCCACATTCATCGCCAATTTCGTTGTACACAGCCACAAGCATTTTATGAGAATTCTCATTGCCCCATATCCCTTCCACACTTGATGTCATTATGTTTACTTTTGCCAATCTAATAGCTTTGAAGTTGGACCCCATTTTTCTCCTGTTTCAGATCTGTCTGGGAGCTTCCTGGTTGGCGAACACGTGGCGATTTGGTGAGAATGCCACACTCTGAGAGGGCCTGGAAGTTCTTGGCCCCTTCCCACACGCCTTGCCCTCTGCATCTTTTCCCTCTGGCTGTTCCTGAGTTATAACGTTTGACAAAAAACCAGTGATGTCATGCTCAGAAAAGGCCATGTGAGGACACAGCAAGATGGTGACCCTCTAGAAACCAGAGAGAGAGCCCTCAGGAGAAACTGAATCTGCCCTCCCCATGATCTGGAACTTTCAACCTCCACAACTGTGAGAAATAAATATCTGTTGTTTAAGTTAAAACACACACACACACACACACACACACACACTCTGATTACCAATGTGATTGTGCACTTTTTCAAATGTGCCTCATTTGGAACTGATTGTCCATGAATCTTTTGGATATCCTTCCATTTGCCCTTGCGTAACTCCTCTCCCCCACCCTACTCTGTGTCCAGGAGGCTGACCTTTTGGGACTGCATGAATGACTCCCTTGTCCTCTGGCTTCTGTTGAGGTTGTTGAGTTGTTAAATTGTTGAGATCCTTGGGTTCAGGTTGAGTCTGGCCAATGAGAGAGCTTCGTTTCTATCAGATGGAGAGTGGGCTGTGGCTGAGTTTCTTAACCAAAGACCACAAATGCTCTCCAGCAATTCTCTTTATTTTCAAATGATTATTTATTGTATTGAAGGACGGTTGATACACAACGTTACATTAGTTCCAGATGTACAACATAGTGACTGGACAAGTCTATACGTTTTGCTGTGCTCCCCACAATCTGTCCCCGTACAGCGCCATTACAATACCTCCGACTCTATTCCCTATGTCGTGCCTCTTGTCCCCATGACTTATTCATTCCCAGATTGGAAGCCTGTACCTCCCACTCCCCTTCACCCATGTTACCCATCCCCCACCCCCCTCTCCTCCGGCAACCATCAGTTTGTTCTCTGGATTTAGGGTTTCTGCCCTTTTTTTGTTTCTTTGTTCGTTTTTTGGATTCTGCGTATATGGGGGATTGTATGGCATTTGTCTTTCTCTGTCTGACTTATTTCACTCAGCATAATATCCTCCGGGTCCATCCACGTGGAGGCAGGGGTTCTAATAGTTATTGTGTTCCAGTAACTACTCCTGGCACTTACTCCTTCATGCTTTGCTGGGAGGTCCCAGCTCCCCACCATTGCTAGCCCCAGGGCGTCTCAGAATGTCTTGTTGGTGTCAGTTTTCGGCAGCCCTTGCTCCTATAATGGTGTAATAGTCACTTGTTCTCCTTGCTCCTGTGCTCTGGGCTGTCTGGGGAGTTAGGGGGTGTGCTTGGCTCTGGGCTGCAAATTGTGTGCATATTTGCTCCCTGTGAGTCACTGCGTAGTGCAGCGCAAGGGATCAGCGACTACCTGGGGTCAGCTCTTCTCACGGCAATCACAGAGGGCAAGAGGACCAGCCAAACCACACAAACATGTTGACATCCTCTGTTTCGCTCAGGTCTGCTCACATTGCACTGAGAAAAACAAGTGCATGACAAAGCCTAGGTTTGGAGGAACAGGTAGGCACACTCCTTCTGGAGAGTGGGGGGGGTGGTGCAAATTTGCAGAACAATGATACAATCACAATTTCCTCCAGCCATACCCACTGCCATCTCACAGTCCCCTCATTTACTTCTCCGCTCTGATCCACTTGCGTGTACCATGTTTCTCATTGGGACCCAGATTAACCCCCTTTCATCCTTGAAAGTTTCTGTAGGTTTTTCCAGTTTTCAGGGACATGCAATACCTCTCTCCCGTTTTAGTTCAGCCTTTTTGCTTTCCTTTTTTGGGTAGGTCCTTCTCCCCTACTCTATGCCCTACCCTATCTTTGGCACCAACCCTTTCCCACTTCTTGTGACTCACGCTAACAACTTAGCATGTTTATTGCTATAGTTTTCTTCATACCTAGCGAACTGTGTGTGTGTGTGTGTGTGTGTGTGCATTCACATGCCAGCTTTTTTAACATACAAAAACGTTTTGCAATTTTAACAAAAGAATAATGCAATTTTCCACCTATTCTGTTCCTTGCTTAAAACCTTGCAAGATCTCCCCAAATCATCTGGCATAGATCTTTCCTATTCTTTAAAATGCTGAATTATGGGGCACCTGGGTGGATCAGTGGGTTAAAGCCTCTGCCTTTGGCTCGGGTCATGGTCCCAGGGTCCTGGGATCGAGCCCTACATCGGACTCTCTGCTCAGCAGAGAGCCTGCTCCCCCCCCCTCTCTCTGCCTACCTCTCTGCCTACTGGTGATCTCTGTCAAATAAATAAATAAATAAATAAAATCTTTTTAAAAATGCTGAATTATGTTCCATCATGCTGGCCCCATTCCCCTATTGAGGAGTGAAGTCAGTGTTACTAAGCACTGCCCAGACCCCACCTTCAAGACCAAGGTTCTCCTTCCCCCGGCTGCTAGGGACCCAGGCTGCTCAGAGCCACAGCTCAATCACTTCCCAGGAATTACTGTGGGTTGAAGGGAGCTGCCTTGCCCAGGGGTACCCTGTGGCCTTCAGGTGAGACCTTATCTAATGACTAGACAGTGTGAGCGTACCAAGGCCTCGGCCTCAACTACTCAATCTGTAACTTTTCTGAACGGCTCTTCCAGCTTTAGATATATCCCCATAGAATCAGCCGAATCTTCTGTTGTAATAGTGGTGTCTCTTTAAATTCTCCCTCTGCTCAATCCTGCTTCCCTCCCTTCCTCACAAGTGTTATGAGATCTGTTTCTGAGGGTATTTCAAGTGTGTTTGGAGCTGGAAGTGGTCCGAAGAGCAGATTATGAAATCGGATTTGGGAGCACAGTTACCTGCCCGCTAGGTCGGAGGCTCCATCACTGTCCATAGGTGAAGTGCTGCTAACCCACGATGTCAAAGTGATGCCACCGTCAAAAAACTGTCACTAGGGGTGACCACAGATGGGACACAGATGGAAGAAAATTTACTGGCAGGTGCAATGTCTCAGGGGTTGACTGATTCAGAGGAAGTAGTAACTGTTCACAATTGTTCAAAGACATGGTTGTAACAAAAGGCTGCTACAGCACTGGAGAAAGACAAGGAAGTGCTGGGGTGGTTAACACCAGTCTAATCTTGGCTCCAAAGCCAAGGGTTCCACCTGTGGGCAGAAAGCAGTCTGAGGACTGGCCTGTAAGCATTAGTCCTCTTTGCAATGCTGCCCGGAATCCAGTTTGTTTTCTACAAGTCAGGCCAATGCATGCACAAGCGAAGCACAGCCCTTTCCTGCTCCCTTCCCACGTTCCGGAAAAATCACCCAAGTCAGAAATAAGAGGGTTGATTCAATGAATCTTTAACATCATACCAGAGTGCTGCCTTGTAAGCCCACCTTTTCTCAGACGCTAACGGGATACCTAACTTTTCCAGCCACAGACAAGCAGGCCGAGGCTTTTCTCAGGACTGCGGATTTCAGGGGTTAGCAGGCCGACAACAGTAGGAGGTTATAACCATTTTCCTTCTCTGCAGCAAAAGAGAACTTGCAGTTCTATTGTCCTGTAGTTCATCAACCAGGTTTGTGCTAAATTCGCAATCACACTTCTGCATTCCCTTCTCCTCTACTCACACAATCAAGGCTCTATAAATGTAAATGCTTTTTCTAAGGAACCTGTCACTCTGCTGATTCCCTGAATAATGCATTAAATAAAATTTGACGGGTATTCAGCAACATATGTGTGGGATTCCTGATTTGTCACAGAAAGGTGTTGCACCTTCAAGCAGCTTTTTGGAAAGGAGGAAAGGTTTTCCAGAAGCCTCCCAGCTGCCTTTTCCTGATACCCCCTTGGCCAAACTCAGATGGAGGTCCACTTCCTGAGGGGCACGGAGCTGACTGGATTGGAAGGGTCAGCATGTGGGCCCCAACGACGGCGGATGGGGTGCGCGTCCCCAGGACCACCACACGACCCCCTGCTGTGTTTCACCATGTCAGATTCAACCTCAGCCACAGAGCAGCAGGGGACACGCCTGCTCAATGACACCCACGGACCCGCGCACCGGCCCGGGGAGGCAGGGGTGCCACATTCACCGAGACTCAATTTCTTTTTAATAGCGTCTGACATTTATTGAAAAGAAGGAAAAGACGTTTGTCCAGGTAGTGTAGAAGAGCTGGGCAGAGTGCAGGGCTTAACTACTGTGTGGAACAAAAGGCACACATCAGAGAGACAGCTGCGAACTGAGAAGAGAACTGGGTTCTGGGCAAAACGAACAGGTCCACGGGAGAAAGAAAACGAGCGGCTGGATCTGGCTGCCAGGCACCCCTGGGACCCGGCCGCCATCTGGCAGGAGCAGAAGAGGTCTCTGGGAGGAGGGGGCGACGGGTCCCGCCGCAGGTGAGAGGTCGGCCCGCCCCTCCGGGGGGCGGTGGCGCGGTGGGTGGCGAGCTGCTGGAGTCACTGTCCAGGGGCCGCGGCCGGCTCAGACACTTCTTGGGGGAGCCCACATCGCTGGGGCCCCAGGCCGTCGAGGGCGCGCGGTGGACGGCGGTGGCAGCGCGGGTGTCCGGGCGGCGCGCTGCAGGCCTGGCGGTCAGTCTGGCGGAGGCGGCCCGCGGCGGCCGGGCTGTGGGTGGTCTGGCCGGTGTGTAACGGGAGCCCGGCCCGCAGCTGGAGCGCGGGCCCGAGTCCAAGTGCGCACGGGAGGGGCCCGGCTGGCGGCCCAGGGCGGCGGCGCGCTCTGGAGCCAGGCCCAGAGGCAGCGGCGGGAACCTGGAGCGCTATTCCTGAAACAAAGGCAAGCACTACGCGGGAGGGGACAGCAGCGTGGGGGAGAGCGCGGCCACTCGAGCGCGGCGAAGGTGGGGGGGCGGGAGGCGCGGCGGGGCGACGCCCGCGGCCATCTGGGCGGCGGCGGCGGCGGCAGCGGCGGGCGCGGCGGACCCTCCCCCGAGCACCGCCCCCAGGCCCGAGGGGCTCCCGGCCTAGAAGTCCTCGTCCTCCACCCAGCCAAACACCCGCTTCATCTCGGCCAGGAAGCCCCGGTAATCATTGAGGAGGGGGCTCTCCTTCCTGATGTAGGGGATCACCCACTGCAGGGCCGGCCCGGTCAGGCGGGTGATGAGGAACGTCACCTTCAGGGCGTCGCTGGAGAACAGAGTCTCGTCCACCAACATGTAGGCGCCCGTCTGCACGATGAACTCCGGCAGCCGGTCGGTGTCGCCGTCAAACGTCTCGGGGAAGGGAATCGGGTTCCTCCACCGCCGGGTCTGGGGCCGCAGGGGCAGGGCCAGGAGGGCCTTGATCAGCTGCACCCTGCCGTCCATTGCGCCGCGCTCGCGCTGGCTAGCCACCTCTGGGAAGGACTGGGTTGAGGTGGGCGGGGAGGCGTGGCGGGAAGTGCGTGTGCGCGGAGGCGTACCCTGGGTGGGGGGCGTGGCCCCGCGCGGTCCCCGCCCACTTGTCCCGGTGGTCGCGAGGGCGCAGGCGCAACACTGGGTGGTCGCCCCAGGTCAGCGGCGGACGCGCGAGGGTCAGGTCCATTGGTCGCTCGAGGAGGCGGGGTCAGAACCGCGGGGCGGGGCCGACAGTCCCCAGGCGGGCCAGGGGCCGGGCCTTGGGCACAGCCCAAGACATCTGGCTCTATCTAGCTCAATCTGGATGTCTGTCCCTATTTGGTGTAGGAAGTCCTTAGGCGTATGGGCCTCAGTGGGGCCCCGTTTTGGGGGTTGAGAAGTCCTTCCTTCTCACGTTTATTGACCCTCAGGCTTAGCGTATGTTTGTGGACTCCTGCATCTGGACACTGCTTGAGGGAGGTTACTCCAGCACAATTTCCTGCTTAAGCATACATTTCTCAGCTAGAGAGATTTTGCACAAGAGGTTAACATGTGGTTGCCTTGCAGTGTAATGGGAAAGCCCCAAATATTAGCAAACATCATCCAGAGCTCCGTATTCAAAGAATAATGCTCTATGACCAGTTAATGTAAAGAGGGTTTAATAATAAGAAATCTCTTAATTTGGGGTGCTCGGATGGCTCAGTCAGTTAAGTCTCTGCCTTTGGCTCAGGTCATGATCTCAGGGTCCTGGGATTGAGCCGGAAGTCAGCCTCCCTGCCCAGGGGGGAGCCTGCTTCTCCTGCTGCTGCACTTGTGCTCTCTCTCACTATCTGCTTGTGCTCTCTTTCTCGCTATCTCTGTTGCTATCTCTGTCTCTCTCTCAAATAAATAAATAAAATCCTTAAAAAAAGAAAGAAGGAAATCTCTTAATTTGGTATATAGGAGATCAAAAGAGGATCATCACTATAGAAACCAAGAGACAAAACTAAGAGGTATTGAATGCTTTCCAAACATGATGTTGTACATTTCCACACTGAAAAATAAAGGAAAGGAATAACAGAGATTAATCTATTTTTAAAAAGACTTTATTCATTTGAGAGAGAGAGAACAGGAGCAGGGGTGGGGAGAGGAGCCCCATGCAGGACTTGATCCTCAGACCCTGAGATCCTGACCTGAGCCAAAGGCGGCCACTCAACCATTTGAGCCACCCAGGTGCCCCAAGATTAACCTATTGAAGGAGGGGACATTATTACAGTTTAAATCTGAATTCCTTTGTATGGCTGAGTACAAATTAATATAAATGCATCACAAGCTTTCAAATATGGAGAAAATTTCAGTTAGGTAGTGTTGTGTTGATGACTCAGTTCAGAAAAAGCAATTAAAAAGAAACAGTGCTTTGGAATATGCTTGAATAATTATAAAAGCCACTTAAAGAACATTTTTAAATGCTAAGAGGTCTACAAAAGAATATTCAAGCCGAAAAGCAGGCCCAGGTCTGTTGCAGAATAGTACAGCATCTTAAAGATGTTAATTTTCTCTGCATGACGAAATTTGGACTAAGGTGGCACCCCAAGAGGTACAATTGTGGCCTCAGGAGTGTTCGAGAAGGCGGAAGAATTGACCCAGCTGGAACTAGATGAACTATAGACCCCACTGCTGCCCCATACCAAGAAGGGGACAGCCAATTTGCCTCCATCTGCTTGAGCTGCAACAGTGCCTAGAGCCCCCATGACCTTTCAAGGGCAACATATCTGTTGTGGACCTAGCTAAGCCTGAATTACCCACAAGTTTTTTTAAAAAAAGGCTTTAAAATATATAAAACGACAGTTTTCTGACATTGGATGGCAAGCAGCCAGGGTAGTGTTCCCTAAGAGTGAAACAACACCTTGGATGAACCCTTGAATGAACCTTGGCTTCCTGTCGGGAGCAAACACCCAGGTTGCCTGTTTTATCTGTTTGTTTGTGTGTATATGTGTGTGTCTGAGGGGGACTGTTTGTTTATACCTGCTGATCCCACATGGAAAGCAGATGTGAGAAATCCCCATGTCTCCCATAGTTTTCTCTGGCTTCTTTCCCTGCAGATCTTATCTTTCTATCCATGGCATTTAATAACACACTCCCTCCCCACCACCCCCGAGGTAGGGTCTCTTTCCCCAGGCCCAGACCCGCCCATCCCCATCCAGGCCAGGACCTCTCCTTTGCACTTAGAATCTCTCTGGGGGAGTAACGGCAGGGGGATCCAATGCCAAGCACTCCCTGGTATGTGGATGGGAACAGCTCAGAGAATCTCTAACAGCTGAGGGAAGACACTTGGTGCGTGTCCACACAAAATGAACAAACCTTCTGCAAAATTTTTAAAGAGAAAGGAAAAGAATTTTATTCAAGCCCAAGTTTTAGGACACCTGCCCTTCTTCACAAAGGACAGAGTGCTCCAGGGAAGGAGCATTTGGTGCAGAGTTATATGTGTTTTTTTTTTTTAATTTTTTATTTATTTGTTTGACAGACAGATTACAAGTAGGTAGAGAGGCAGGCAGAGAGAGAGAGAGAGGAGGAAGCAGGCTCCCTGCCGAGCAGGGATCCCGATTCGGGGCTCGATCCCAGGACCCTGGGACCATGACCTGAGCCGAAGGTAGAGTCTTTAACCCACTGAGCCGCCCAGGTGTCCCTTATATGTGTTTTTTACGTAAAGAGTTACAAGTCATCAAGAGGAAGGACTCACCAGAAACTTACAGACTTTACCTTAAGGTTTTCAGGCTGTTTGATGGAATAGCTTATGGGACCAGGGAGGGATATTTTTGTTGTAGTTTTTCTTATCTTTGTGTTTGGAATACTCCTTTTTGTTTTTTTGTTTTGTTTTGTTTTGTTTTGCTTTGTTTTTAAATGAGGCAGGCATACGATGTGTGCTCAGGGCAGAAATAGGTTTTCTGAGGTTTTGCCAAGTCATTTTGACCTTGGTAAATGTTCAAGTACAGCTTCCCTGGGAGCCCAGGAGCAGGACCCGCAAACATTAAAAGTTGCAAATTTCCTTTATCACTGGACAGCCGGTGGAGCCAGGCATCCAAACCATAACTGAGTTGTGACAAAGGGTCATTACAGGATCGCCCATCACTAGCTTGGAACGGCCATCTGTTGCCACCTGTGACTGTGTCAGGGCCAAAATGGAGTCTTGTTGGTATTAATACCCTACATGTCACCGGCCATCTGCTCACGTAACCCCTAAGTCCCTTACAAACTGCTCACCACCCAGAAGAGGCTTTCTGAGACTCTCTGGGGAGAGGGATGCGCACTGTGGGGACAGGGTACTGTCAGCGGTGAGGGCGAGCGTAGCTGGGGACGAGTGGCTCCCACCCCATGGACAACCCATTCCTTGGCACAGAGAGGGTAACAATGGGGATATTTATCAATCGGGTTCCAGCTGCCATGGGAGACCGGGAAGGGAGGTGCGTTGCCCTCTGCATGCTGAGGAACCCCCCCCCCCCAGCAGGACAGGAGACGCTGCAGCCGAGGCCCCTCTTGACTGGACGCAAGAACACAGCTGCTGGCGCCCACAGCCCGAGATCCTCATGAAATCCCAGGGAGAGCCCCGTGCCCCACTGCCCCCTGGGGGTGGGGGCGCATCTTCAGGCAGAACAGATGGCCACAGTCTTGCTCTCCCTTCCCCTGGCGGTGGGGGGGGGGTTTGCGGGTGGGATTTTAATGACGACAGCCGTAAGGCTCTTTGACGAATGTTTGAATCACGATAAGCTGCACAGAGGACATGCAATTTTAGTTCATCAGAAATGTTATACAAGTAGTGGGGAATGTATTAATCTTTTTGAGGGACAGTGCCACAGATAATGGTCACTGACCTGCCTCTCCGGATTCTGCCCTCACAAAGGCTTTCTAAGACCAGGTTGTGTAGCACACAGAAATATTTCATATTTTTAAGGGACCAAGATTCTAATAGAGGCTTGAGCAGGAATTAACTGCAGGCTTGCTGCCTCCAGTTTTGACTCTCATGACTTCGGGACGGTGCTTGGGCAGAGCCAGGCTAGTCACGCTGCCCCTGCCTTATTCCAGCATGAACAGAAGATGCTCCATCGCTCCACAATATCTGAACACGTACTTGCAATTTTCATCAAGTGGCCACTTTTCATAGGAACTAGGTGTCAGATTATCTACTACCTTTCTTGCCTTAAAAGGGGAGAATTTCAGGTCTGGCCTGGAGCCCCTCACCCTGCCACCAACATCCCACCACCCGGCCCCGAGACATTAATGCCTCAAATTACAGAGCTCAGAGCTCTGCCTGGCCTGGTATACACACTTGATGGCAGAACCACACGCTTCTTGATCACGGTTGCATACATTGCAAATAGTAAAAACCTACAGGTGGGAGCTTCTTCAACAACAAATTTGATCAGAAGAACGCAAATGTTTTACAAAATCCAAGAAACCAAAGCAACGAACAAGTGTCACAAGGACAGTGACAAGGGTAGCTTGGGAGAAATCAACTGTAGGTCATCTAGGTAAAATTCTCAAAAGAAATTGCATTAAAGAGGAACACCTGGGTGGCTCAGTGGGTTGATCAT